TCCAGCTCTTTGCTATAGCCTGGAAAAGCAGTAGAAGATGGCCTTGGGCCAGAAGTCCTTGGGCCCCTGCACCTGCGTGGGAGACCCGGAAAAGGTCCTGGCTCCTGGCTTCGGATCGGCTCAGCTTCGGCCGTTGCAGCCACTTGGGAAGTGAACCAGCAGATGGAAGACTCTCTCTCTCTCTCTCTCTCTCTCTCTCTCTCTCTCTGTCTTCTCTCTGCCTCTGCCTCTTGGTAACTCTGCCTTTCAAATAAATAAATCGTTTTTAGAAGAGAACTTACATAAATGAAGAATAAAATGAAGTCTTGGCTTCACCGTTTTTTTTTTTTGTTTGTTTGTTTTGTTTTTTGTTTTTGTTTTTGTTTTTTTTTTTGACAGGCAGAGTGGACAGTGAGAGAGAGAGAGAGAGAGAGAAAGGTCTTCCTTTGCCATTGGTTCACCCTCCAATGGCCGCCGCGGCCGGCGCGCTGCGGCCGGCGCACCGCGCTGATCCGATGGCAGGAGCCAGGAGCCAGGTGCTTTTCCTGGTCTCCCATGGGGTGCAGGGCCCAAGCACCTGGGCCATCCTCCACTGCACTCCCTGGCCACAGCGGAGAGCTGGCCTGGAAGAGGGGCAACCGGGACAGAATCCGGCGCCCCGACCGGGACTAGAACCCGGTGTGCCGGCGCCGCTAGGCGGAGGATTAGCCTAGTGAGCCGCGGCGCCGGCCTAGCTTCACCGTTTTTAATCATGCTTGGATTGTGGCTGGAATTGAAAAGCAAGAGGGAGTTCAATGACCCTCATCTTACAATATGTGGCTCCGAATGGGTTTGTTCACATAAGAAAAAGAAAGGAAAAAACAGAAATGAGAGGAATGGAAAGGAAATGAAAAGAAAGGAAAGGAAAAGATAAAAGGAAAGAAGGAATGGAGAAAGGAAAGGAAAATAGAAATCTTTCAAAACAATAAAGCTAATTTCATGTGAATTGGCATCAGTGCAAAATAAATTCGATGAGTAGCTTACAGCATATCTCCCATAATAATCTGGCTTGTCTTGAAACACTGAGCTTTTTAAATAAATTTTACTGCCTGGTCTATGGCTTTGTGGTTCCATCGTGCTCGAAGAAAAATGCTGACAACTTGTTTTCTGTTTCCACTGGCAGCATTACTGTTTTCAAATTGAAATGATAAATGATTGGGTATGGTGGAGTGGTAGGGCTCTGAATTCTATAGTGATATTCTATATTTTTCCTTAATGCACACAATTTTATTTCCAGGTACAGTTCCAATGTGTTAGAAGAGAAGACCTCATGTAATCACAATCACTGTGCAATTATATAGATTTTAGTACTAGGACTCAAAAACTATATCCTAATTTAAGCTCCTCTGCAATATATGGGAGTGCTTATGACAAAACCAGGGAACTCTGAGAAAATTCCTGTTTGGTCTACTTATGGGATCCCAGGTGTGCAGAATATTTTCCTAATTTATTTTCATCCATGCCTTTTGAAGCACTTGAGAACAGTTGATTTGTATTTTCTCCATGTACACATTGCCAAAGACAGTGCTAGAGCCCTGGAAAGACTCACTTTGATCTGAAGGTAGTTTTGCTTGCCATGTGCTTGTGCAATTGAGCACTAGCTGATGATCAAAAACAATTCCCCAAACCTGAGCTTGGACTTCGACGCCTTATTTGAATCTTTAGTGGAGGCACTGGTGGGGGTGGGAGGGAGGGGGTTGGAGTGGGAAGGTTGGAGACTTAAACCTTTATATCTTCATTCGTCAAATTAGCTGATCCAGTTCCCAAATAATGTTATTTTCAATGATTTTTAAGCACTGTGGAAGATGAGGCAATTACAAAAGGCTTCTATTTGTGTTGTTATTTTATATATTAAAATGATTCATAGGTGAAGCTTACTTATCTTGGGATTCCTGTGGCATGTCTACTTTGTGTTCTCCTAACTCCCACTGTTATTGTCAGCATAGTCCCAGAATTCCCCATGTGCCCAGTGCCTTCATGAATTCTCATATCCCTCCTAGTTTCTATTTTGATCTTCTTCCGCCTTTGTCAGAACTTACCTGTCTACTGCCCCATAATTGTAACATTTGTTACTTGATCGAGTAGCTTGGTCTCTGCCCTCAGTTTTCCAGAGAAAAATGAGGGGATTGAAATAGATGGCCTTCAAGTTCCCATTCAGTTCTAAAACTGTATGAGCCAATACACGTGTCACTGTGTCATTTAATAAATGTTTCCCTTCTTCATAGAAAAGATTGACAGAATCCAAAAGGCTAGATTGTGGTGACATTCTGGGAACATCATGATTTAACCTAGTGAAAATTATTTTAGGACACTGATGATAGGCATTTTGGGGACTTCCTTATGAATTTTTATTTCCTTCAAATCACACTCCAGAAATGGCTACCTATTTTGTTAATGCCTTGAGTCAATTTTCTCGGTCAGTTTCCAGGTAGCAAATATTTGCCTTGTATGTATTCTTCTGGATTTAACTATTTAGTGGAGGCCAGATACTCTTAGGAAATAAATATTTTTGAGGATTCTCTAGCAAATTTTCCTTTACTGTTGGTATTGTCCTAGCCATACTTTTCCAAACAGTTCATTATGATCAACTCTTTCAAGATATTTTCTCACTTGAAAAGCAGTCACCTCTCACAAGTGCTACCCATGGGTCAGACGGCTTCTGCAAGTAAAAAAGTCTCCTTGTAAAGCATATCTCATCTAATATTATCAGAAGAGCTTTTGGTCAGCTTTTGGGCTTTTAAACTTCTATAATAAGAGACCAGTTTGATTTTTACCCAGGTTAAGGAAAAACACAAACTATGGTGGATTTTTGTTTTGTTTTGGCCTCTCTCTCTTTTAAAACAAAGAACAAAATGACAAATCCAAATTTGAGACATCTGGATGTTTCCCATCATGAGGCTTAAACATCTGCATTTTTTCGCTTCTCATCCAGATGTTTTGGTCTTATGTAAACCAAGCTAAAGTGAAGCAGAATATCAAGCAATCATCTGGGGACTTTGATTAACATGGACAGCAAATCTGAATAATCCATGTTCCGAGAGTCCTGTTTTTTGTCTAGCGCAGAACACATTACTAATGAGGTCAAAGTTACTGTAGGTTTGTTCCTTGTATGGGCCAGTTAGCTCTGATCTGTTCCATGACCACAGAATGCACCTCTAGCCTCAGCCAGCTGTCTGGAAAATGAGCATACTTGGTCCTACAGGCAGTCACGCAAGAAACTGAATAGCCAATCTACCACTTGGAAAGTAAAATAAAAATGTATTTCTCATGAATGGTGGCTCTGCTGTCCCAGTTTTGTTTAAAATAATAACTCTCTCCATGCCAAACACTGTTTCTAAGCACTCACTTACATTGTCACAATGTTCACCACTACCCTATGTGTAGCATTATTACTATTAGCCTCCTTTTACCAATACGGAAATGAAGGCAAGAAGGGTTAAGTAGGTTACCTCCAGTAAAAATGGAATGGCATTCTTATTTTTTGCTAGGCATTTTCCCACATCTCCTCTGTTGAGAAGGTCAGGTACTCTCAATATATTAGCTACCTAGAAAATATATTAAAGGAAGACAGAAACCCAAATCTTGCTGCATGCTGAATTCAGTGGTGGAACTGCCACTGGGGCACACTCTGTGCCCAGTAAAGTAGTTTAATCGAATACCTATTCTTCCACCCAATATGATAATTACAGGCATAAAAGTATCCTTTGCAAAAAATGAAGGTAATGTTTCTGTTGGTAATGAGTCAGCACATAAAGTACGTATTTAGGAAAAGGGGTTAGGTGGTTAGGAGCAATGAGCTATGTTGGGTGGCCTCATAGAACTAAATTGTCTGAAAATCCTGAGGATAAGTGATTTGTGTGACTGGCAGAAGGCTTAAAAACCTTTGATTTCCAACTACAAATTACTTAGAATTCTAAAATCCTAGCCTTATATGAGATATAATGCGATCATCCAGTATATTGCTTTTTTTTTCAATAAAATTGCAAACACAAAGTTGTTTGCTGAAAGATGCAAATGATAGAAATATTCCTCTTACAGTTTTGAAGGACTCCATAGAAGTTGAAACTTCCGAAATCCTCTTGTTCATTTAATCAAAAAATGTGATGTGAGCACCTACTGTGTGGCCAGCTCACTTGGTGGTGAATTGAGGCCATTGTTCCTCAGAAACCCTTCATTTAGTTTGACATGATCTGCTTCGGAAAGTAAGGGCTCTCATCTTGTATGTTTCCTGCCTAAATTTGTTTCATCTTCTGGTGTTAGGAAAATCAATCGTTTAGCATCTTAGTAATGGAGACCTTGCTTCTTAAGCTCCATTTCCTTTTCCTTCTGGACAAATAGCTAGACTGCAAAAGCCAGTCCTCCAGCTGACCCCTCCTTGGAATGTGAGTGGTTTTTACAGGTATCCAGTGCCAATCTGCACGCTGTCTTTCTTTACCCATCCACTGGCTAAACAGAGAGGACTCCCTGGACCTAGAGAAGAGTACAGCAGCAAAATGGAAAGTGTCTGCCTGTCAGTGACAGTGGAGCAGAGCTTGTCCCTTTAAACCTGTCCAACACTCATTAGACTGCCATGTGAGGAAGCAATACAATCCTGTTAGGATGCAGAGATTTGGGAGATTGTTGTTAACAATGGTTACTTGCCCTAATGAATACGATCTCCCTTATAAAATTTCCTTCATAATATTAAAGATGGCAATCAGCTAATAACCCCATCTTCAATTTTGGTGAAAATTGGGTTCCAGCCTCATCCAGTTACCAATTCCTTTCCTTGTTCTTTACAAGACGATTCTCTGCACCAGTTCTTATAATGCCAACACATTTCCACATATCCTTCGCTGTTTTTTCTAACTCTTGTCCAGTTACTCTATTTTAGAACTGGGGACAAATAGCTCTAATTTCTGCCTCCTGCAGTTTGTTTCCCTTTGATTCAACAAATACAATTACAATTACAAAATTACAACAGTTACAAAAGCCTTTGCTTTATGATCACTGGTCTTTATTTCAAAATGAGGTGAGAAACTTAAATAGACAATAGTACCTAAAGGATCAACCTGCATCAATGCACCATCTTTATCAAAGTCTAATGGTATCAAATATGAAAAAATTCCAGAAAAGGAAGTTTTTATTTTTTTTGTGAATTTGGGATTGAAATCAGTAGGGTGAATAGAAATTCGTGTTTCTAAATCAGATTTTCAGAAGTCCGTTGTCTTTCCTGGCTCTTTCTTTCCTCCTAACACTTCATGGGTTGTTCCAGTAGCAAATCCACCTTTTTTGTGTTGTCTCTAGTTTTGTCCTGACAGTGTCAGGGTGCTCAGTTAAGAAGACAGGTTAAACACGGAAAAATAATTCATTTGATACAACTGAGTTTTTGATCCTGGGAGTCTTTATTAACTCTGCTGTTTTCCCTTCATTTTTTGCATCACCACATTCTACTTATTTCTCTTCTTTGGGCCTTCCCTTTCTTAAGAGAATATGGGTCACACGACCCTAGCTCCATCTCCTTTCACTTCATACCTGGACTATGGCAACATCCTCCTGGGTGGTCCTCATGTGTCTGCTCTCTTTCTCTACTTCTTCTTGTTATCTGTTAGCAGAAAAATGCTCCAGCACCTCTTCCAGCCTTACTTCATGTTGTGTCCTCACATGGATTTCTGCTCTTGTCAGCTAAATGTGCTTGCTGCCAGCTAAACAGGAAATGCTTATTCTTTGCTCAGGTTAATCACATACGCTGTTCTCTGCACTTAGCAAATTCCCATTCTTCACCATTGTTCCATCTATTTCAAATGTGTCTCTTGATCAAGTTGGCACTGAATTGTCCCATCTCATCTACACTGCGTGTATGCATTACTCTCCCTGCACTGGAATATGTTTTCACAAACACTCCTTTCTTTGTGTATATGATGAGCAAACTATTTGAGAATGGGTTCTTCAATTCTGAAAAACATTTGTATGTGTGAACTTCAAAAAGTTTGTGCACAATGGAATTAAAAGATAAGTTTACTTTGGTGCAGTTTTTAAAAATTGTCCATGCATAGTTTTTTCATGATATGCATTTTCCTCAAACTGAAGAATTAAGAATAGTTATTTTTTGAAATTTTTTCACCAAAATTAACTTATCTTTTAATTCCATTTTTCCATGAACTTCCTGGTGTACCCTTGGATTATACTTTATGTGGTGACCAGTACAGATTAGGCACTCAATAAACACTCATGATTGACTTTAATGTCATCTGGAGAAAATGTAGTTGAGCGAACAGCAGTGAGCATTTGGGAAGATAACTAGAGATGGATGTGAGTGATTTTACAAGTTCTGATCTCACAGTAATGAAATGGAGCTCCAAATAATCATATGAAGTTGACTGTGGCTGATTTTAGCTCCAAAAAAAATGCAAGTTTGATATGAGTTTGAAGTGAATGATTATTGTTTATCAAAATGTCCTATACATTCATCAGCGAGACTTAATGCTCAGCACTGTGACCTTCTATCAGACATCTTAGAACAAAAATGCATGAGTAATGGAGAAATTGGAGCCAGAAAATTTTCAACATTAAATTCTCTCCCATAAAAGAGCAACAACAATTGCAAGTGTTCAGCCTGAACTGATCACTATGGGACTATTTTCTATCTTAACTTGAATCTGGTTTTATCAGTTCACTGCCTCACCTTTGGGGATGACCAGAAGGAGTATAAAGATTTCCATGTGCAATATTCAAGATATTTCCTTGGCCATTAATTTTCTAGAAAACATTTGGTTCCAAAAACAATTTACTTAAAAATAAAATGCCAAAAAGCAGGAAATGCTTTAAACCAGTGGTTCCATACTCTTGTAAAAGCTGCAAATATCAAGTAGATTAAAGAGTCTTGTTCCCTTAATTGCCAGATTTTTCTTCTTTATCACACTTTCCATTTTCCAACCTGTTGTATTAGTAATCTCTGGGCTAGTACTCGTTTCCATATCCTCTTGAACTATGCTTTAAACTTCTCTTTCATAATCAAACTCTTGAATCCCTCTCTGCACCCTGTTTCCTGATGGTAAGTTCCACAAGGATAATCATTAATCCTCAAACAGAATATCAACCCCTTTCACATGATGCTATCTTTGGTTCAGTCCTCACCATAAGCCTGTAAGTGTCTCTCTGTCCATATTTTTTAACAAGTGTTTGAAAGCAGAACAGATTTGATTCTAATTCAGTTAACATTTTGATGTGGCAAGGAAAGACATCTTTTCATAAACCACTCAGCTACCTTTAAGAATCACCATAGTTAGGTTGGATCCCATAGATTATCATATCCTCTAAATTTCACATTGTACCAAATTAAGCCCATGTATAGATCATCCATCTCCCTGAGCCCTGTTTGTTCTTAATATATTTTTATCACCTATGCATCTATCGCCTCTGTGCATTTCTCATTTCTGCCATCATTTCTGATGTTTTCAGCATGTTTCACCTTAAAAATAACTTTAATTTTGAAGTGTGTATTTTATATATAACATAACAACAAATGTGTTGCAAACATATGAGAAATAGTTTATACTAGTGTTTCTCTACATTTCCAAATTCAATGTCAGCAAAAAAATTGATGAGAAAAAAAAGTTTTTCCCGCTATGAAAGCAACTGGGAGAATATATCATGTTCTAGACTAAATACTTATACCCTTATGGGCTATATCTTTCAAAAATCTTAGATGAAAATTAAATTTTGAATCGCCATCTAGAAATACATTTTTATAGATAGTGTACACATTGGTTCCTGAAAATGGTAGAAAAGGTTTCTTGTCAAGTTCCCTAGCACAAGTGTGAATGCTCTGTTTTTGAGTACCTACTAGTAGTGAAAGGACACATTGTGGCCAGCCAACTCAAATTGCTACCCACGTTTAATCATTGTAAATAAAGGAAGCAGAGAGACCCATGTTATATTTTCAGAACTGGCATGCTCAGTACAGAACTATTAGTTTAAAAATACCACTGAACATTCTATTTGGATTAATCTAGATTTCTGCGAAAAATAAAATAATAAAAAATACAATTGGTCATTTAAACATATACTACTCACTTCATGCAGATTATTAATTTAGTAATTATACATAGCATTAAAGAACAATCAGAGTAAATACAACTTTCTAACACTTGGAAAACAGCTCAAAATTGAGAAATTTTCATTTTGAAATACCTATAGGTTTTACAGAAGTAAAATCACCTTTCTCAGTGGAAAAAAATACATCCATGAAACACCTATATGTGTTGAACAGAACTTTTCAAAGGAGTAATTAATTGTCCTACCATGAATTGAGCACACATCGCTAAGTTTTCACATACTGTTTGTGCATAATGCATTTTTTGAACAGCAGAAATGCAACAGAGAAACAAGTTCTTTGAATAAAAGTCATGGATCACAGGGAATCAATAATGGAAGAGGTCAAAAGGAATTATCAAAGCATATTACCTAATGTTCTCTTATACACTTGGATTTCACAGTTACAAGGGATGGGCAAATTCTTAATTTTTACACTCTTTGTACACTTGTCCTTGTTAGTATTTGTCCAAGAACATGATTTAAGAATCATTTGCAAAATGCCAGAATCAACCTTGATTAACAATTGACTCCAACAGGCATCTAGGTGGTGAGCACATTGAATCTGATTAATCGGAAAAAAACATATAGCAGGAATTCACAATAAATACTAGACTAGGGGCACATTCCTTACAGCAAATACACAATATCTTAGATTAGTCACAGGGATTTTCAATGGCACAGTCACATTCACTACTGGGGAGTGGAGAAGCTGGGTCTATCAAATGTATTCTTTGAAGCACTGGGACTAGAGATACTTCTGCAGGAGCCTTGCACACATGGTCAAGCAGATACTGTGTAGATACAGAGTAGTCTGTTTCATAACTACATTGCAAATGAGAAACTGCAATAGCTTCTCTACCACTAGTAAACTTGAATCATTTAGCACTTTGTCTGTGATTATTGTTGTATTCTTTTCAATTGCTGACACTCAGTCAAGATGTATTCAAACTCCAATGATGCTGGAAAAAGGTAAGGAAGATGCCCACATGTTTGTATAAAGCTTATAGCAGGCCAAGAGATCGTTTGGATAAAAAAAATCCAAATGTGAATTTGTTAGAAAACAATATAATGTACACTTTAAAATGTATATTCAAGGTTGTGAAACATTTGAAACAAGTGAGAAAGCCACAGGGTTCAAAATCATCCTAAAAGAACTCACAACCTGTCTATTCATTTGCTTAAGAAATGCACATTGTTTACCTACCTACTAGTTTGCCTACAGAAGATATGCTTGCCTCATAACTCTAAAAGCTGTTTTTGTGAACTGTTGATTTAGTCTACATAAGTGGTCCATTATGTTGAAGAAGTTCTAAACGTTTCAATCATTTTTGTCTCAGCTGATCTTCCTCGACAAACAATCTTCCAACTGGAGTGCCTCAACATTTCTTTCTTGATAGTTTCTGATTTTTCAGTTACTCTATAGAAGTTCACTTTTACCCTTAAACTTAGTTCAGAACTTTCAAATTCAAATTAAGTCTTTAACTTTTCCTTATTTCAAATACCATGTAAATACTGAAATATTCATATATATGGGAAAGATAGCTCACCTACTGAGCTTGCAGTCTGTGTGGTATCGTAAAACAACAGAATTTAAAAACTATTCTTTTCAGGAAGAAATCAAAACTGTACATTGGAACAAGGTGCCAAACTACAAAAGAAGTCCTTCTTTCCTTCCCCCCACTAATCTAAAAATGTAAACAAAAATATCTAAGTACAAAAGTGACTTGTGTGCCTTTTTCTTCAAATACGTTGTCAGCACCTCAATGTTATTAGGTATACTTTATGCTTGGTATAGCAGACATTCCGCTCATCTATGCTGTTGGGAGGAACTCAAATTTTCCACTACCAAATATCGCTGGTGAAGCTAAGCTCTTTGGAGGATAAAGGTAGCAGGGAACTGTTCCTGGGACATTCCTGTGTATCTTTCAAGGCATTATTAAGGGGCAGCTGTCCGTTGAGTAGCGTCAGAGGCAGATTACAGTAAGTGTGGTGGTTGCCCAAGGAAGGTAGTGGCAAGGTGGTAGTTGGCATCTCGTGTTTATAACCTCTGCAACAGTGTCTCATTTGCATTGAATCTGAATGGTGGAAGTCAGGGAGATCAGCTTGAGATGACACCAGAGTGGCTGAGGTATTGGTCATGGCAATAGAGGGTATGGGCTGGAGTTCTCCAAAGAGTCCTTGTTCTGCAGACTCCAGAACGTGGCACCGAGAGAGCATTTCTTTCCTCTTGATGGGCATTTCATATACTAAGTGCTTCCAAAACTTAGAATTTAATTTGCTGCTTTTTGGTCCCTTCCATTTGATCAGAGACAGAAGTTTGATGCTGCGCTTTAGTGATTCTACTTCCTGGGAATTCACCTTCCCTTTTAATTCTGTACACTCAATCAATATCACTTTGATTTCTCCACTGACTAGCATGTTATGCAGTCTGCTTTCCAGTTCGAAAATACTCCATCCCCGTCTGAGTATATAGTCAGGAGTTAGCACGATAATAAGTCTTCTGCTTTGCTCAATGCATCTTGTGAGATCTTCAATGTATGCTACAAATCACAAAGAGAGAAAGGGTAAAACAAAGACATTGCCAGTCCTTAAGCATCAGCTTTGCACTCTAGTATAGCAAAGATGCAGTCTTTCACTAAAGTCCGTCACATTTTCTTTTCTTGTATTGTACATTCAGAAAGCCCGTCTCCTTAAAAAATAAAAAAAATAGAAAAACAACTGCTTATAAACTTTATTTTCTTTGCCCTCATCATTACTTACAGTGTTCTGTTGGCTAGCATAAACCTTGACTGCTTCAGAGTTTAGGTGTATTTCAGTAATTTTTTTTATTTATTTAATCATTTAATTCAAGGCAAGCTTCCAGGCTGGTACTCTGAGTGAACAAGCCATCAACAGGTCGATGAAAAGAAAAACAGAGCCTTTTAATAAATACAGGATTCTGTATTTGGGGATTTGCTTTGCTTTCCCTCCCTAGATTTCTTCCTTTTTTATTAATAGTATTTATTTTATTTGACAAAGAATAACTGTAAATATGGCTCCTAATGTTCAATTATTAAACATGTATGTGTGTGTCTTGGGGGGTGGGGACAGCTATGTATACTTACTGATTGAGAGACAATTGTGATACAGACACGGTGGAAAATCTCTTTTAGAAAACCATAGTCAGCTTGTTTCTCAGAATCCTTTTTGTCATATGCAAACTTAGGTTCTGTCTCTGGACCTTGAAACCCAGAGACAGGCAAGTGTGTGTGCCCATGACTTTCATTTGAACCAGCTGCTTTTTGTTCCACAGAATAGTGAAGGGGTAGAGTTGGAGGTGGGAAATGGTAAGGAATGAATGAGGAAGGAGGAGGAGTCTATTTTGTGCAGCAATGCTGGAATTTAGGTTAACGTATATGGCTTTGTGTGTGTGTATGTGGTACAACAACACTGAACTAGTTCTAAATGTGTTTATCCCGGAGAATAATCCCTCTGCCATCATGCTTCCCAAAGTCGTATCTGCCAAAAAGGGAAACGCATACAAGTGTTGACAAATGGAGACTTGGACACAGGTGCTGCACCAGAGAGCTCTCTTTCCTAAGCCGAGCACAAGGCCTTGTCTAAAGCACAGTGCCCTCTAGCAAAAGCAGTACCTATAGAAGCATGGCAACATTTGTTGCTGCAAATCTGGCCCAGGGTTACAGACTGCTTTCAAGACGTCACATCCATCACATAGTGTGGGGCCACCAAGCAGCCCAGTACACGCCATTTGCAAAGAGAAACGGATTTTACAGATGCATATTTCACAGATGATCTCTCTTTTCCAGGGTTTTATTTCTACTAGTTGGCAGCAAGAAAAGTTTCACAAGTGAAAATCAGCAAACTTTCTATACACCCTAGAGATAACACAAACTTGAAAAAAGAGATATACATAGCGTGCTATTTGACAATTTTTTGTTACTGCTGTTTTTAATTTTGAATTAATACATTGCAGCACTTTCTCATGCAGTAGTTACAGTGACTGTATGTGAGAAGATCAGGCAGTTTCTAAGTCAGAAGACAACCTCTTAAGAATTTTGAGGGTTTTACTTTGAGATTACGTATTCAGAGGGCACAATCCGCATTGAGATCTGAAAAAACAAAATGAAACACACAACACAAGTAGCAATGGGGGACGTGATCACTCTGGTATTATCAGAGAACTGGTGAAACAGAATGGAAGGAAAGGTAGAAAGTTTCAATAGAGTGGAAAAATATTATCCCAATGTATCAACAGCTCTGACTCTTCATTTTCTTCCTTTCTTTCTGCTCCCAAAAAGAAAGTTATGTGGGAAGCTTCATCATTAGAAGTTGGATCTGTAAGATACAGTAAAATAAACTATCATGCATCTTTCCCATTGTTCTTTTCACCTTTCCTCCAAAACAAAACAAAATCAAACCCAAACCCAGAACCATGGTATTGTGCAGGAATCCATGAAAATACAGTTTTATCAGGTGAATTGTGTTAGCTGTTCATTTTTACACAGGGACTCTTTGCAAAATAATGTACCAAGGGGTAACTTTGACTAGTATTCCTCTCGTATTAATTGCAAATGGTTATTTAAAATTTTTAATTGTCCTGTACAAACCTTGTCAGCAACACAGAGTCACATAAAGTATACCTCTAGGAACAACAGTATCTCTATATTGGGGATGTGGTCTAAGTATATTTTTAAGCATACTCTTAAAAACAAAAGCTACATCTACACATCTGTATATATGTAAATAAAAAAAATTACAAGCTAGAAATCTTTGGTAGGTCAAGAAGCCATATACATATGTACTCATGAAATTGATTGGGATATTAGGGGCTTCAGTTGACTACTCCTTTCTGGGATGGGGAAGGAAATAGAGTGACACTTTTTTTTTTTTGCCTGATTAGTATGATTTTCCCCCTTTCCCCATCTACTATATTTTGCCTTTTGACAGCGAAGCAGAATGTATCATTTAGGGTTCCTGGGGCTTCTTAGAGACTCATTAGGCCAAATTTACATTTGCCCCTAGAAGGGCTGCCTGTCGGGACAGATCCCACTATGCTCAGCTGCACAGGGCGTGGGTGTTGAAGGGAACCTTGGAGAGAGGGAGTGGTCCCTGTCTCCTGCGTACTACACTGGCTGTGCTTATCCTGGCAAAGTCTACTGGAGAGTTGAGGCAACCATCCAGACAATTCCGGCTGAAAACCTGCTGTGGAAGAAAGAAAAAAGTTCTGAATTATCCTGGTTTGCCCTATATATACATTAATCATATGCACTGGGGTCTGTCAGTACATCAAAATTTTCCCTGGGTAGACACAGCCCAAGTGTCCCAAAGAAAACACAAGCCATTTGCTTGGGCCCTGGATCTCGTGTTCCATTTCACTTGGTGAAGAACCAAGTGGAAGTTTTCAGATGTGAAGCCCACATTTCACTTCTTGGGATGCTGATCAGTGGCTGGGCAGCAACGTCAATGTTTGAAAGCAGCTGGGGAGGTGCCACTGAGAGCTGCCTGGCTCCGAGGAAAAGAAGGAGACACTGTGCCCTAGCTCCCATATTCTGGCTCACCCTCTGTTTTTCTCTATGTTTTTCTCTCATTTGCTGCCCCCTCCCCCCTCTCTACCTCTTTGTTTCTCACTTTTTCTTTTTGCCTTTCCTCTTCATCCTTTCCTGTCTTCTTTTTTTTTTTTAATCTCCCTCTCTTCCTTCTTCCCTCCCTACTTAAATCTTTCCTTCTTCCTCTTTTGCTTTGGGGGGCGGGGAAACACAAGACCTAGCCATCATGGAAAATAGAAGTAAATGAGGGGGAGAGGAAACAGACATAGTTCATTTTTTTATAAACTTCTAATGTTACTGGCTTCTATGAAGCAAAGGCCCTAAATAATTTCCCCCTCACTCAGGGATTACATGTGTGCATCCAGTGACCGAGATTTGGAGCCTGATGAATTAAGCCCATGTCCTGCTTTTGTATGGCTCATGAGCTAACAACAATTTTTTTTACATGTTTAAAGAGTAATTAAAAAAAGAAGAAAAATACGTGCAACAGAGACCATATGTGACCCACAAAGCCCAACTTTTTACTTTCCGAACCTTTAAAGAGACCAAGCAGGGTGGTTAGGTTTGAAACTGTTCCAAATAAACTAAGCAGAAACAGGTATCAAGTTAAGACACTGCTAGTCCATAGTGTAGTCTCTGACAGGCACTGGGGTTTGCCCTGGTAGGGCTGTGGTTTTGTGGGAGACATTTTAGAAACCTTCAGAAAACGTTTTAAAAAGCTTGTTACCACGAAGAGATAATAAAGAAATGTTTTTCCAAAAAAAAAAAAAATCCCTAAATCCACAGCACATACAAATCCTCACTAAATCTTGCCTTGACTTGTTCAGGCAAATTTGGAAACTGAGTAGCAGGAATCCCTTAAAATACTCTTATTCTACCAAAAAATATGAAATGGCCCTTAAAAAAGGTTGCTAAGTCATTTCTTTGCAAATTCTGGTTTTAAGCAACTTTAGATAACAGAAAAGATCAAAAAAAGCTGTCTGATAGTTTCCTGTTTCCCTAATCAGGTCTGTGAAACTGCAGCAGATTATTAGACCCTTCACAAAGCCAATTACATCTAACCTATTTGTGATCTTTGCAATTAGGAAAAGAAAAGGAAAATCCTTGGGCACATAATTTTGATAGGAATGCTTAATTTTGGATAGATTCATTTTTTCCTACTATAAGTGTAAATGCAAAGAAACACTTTCTTTATTTTCTATGCTACCAATTCAGGAAAATCTTCCAGAAGAAACTGCATTGTCACCAGCCTCTCCTTGTGATATATACCTCTTATAGAAATGAAGAAAGATCATGTCAGCAGCATCAGCATTCCTAGGAAACAAGGCAACTGAACACTTAAACTTTATTTAAAACAAAGCAAATTCAATTTTAAAATCTCTTTCAGAGACAGCTGTATAAAACAAAATTCTAGTATATTCAGAGGAGAAATAGGATTGGATATAGAAAAGTGACTTGAAAACAAATTATATCACTTGTTAACAAAGCAAGAAAGTAAAAATGAAGGAGGAAGAGACAAAACAGAAGCAGGAAGAATGGCAGCTGCAAGAAATTTCTTCTAATGGGTGTCGTATACTTTCCCCAAAGAACTCAGTACTCTGCTAATCCTCACGTTCTGAGTATGCTATAGATATAGGCAGAAGGACAAGGGAGAAAAAACTCCATAACCACCAATTCCTATGTGGTCTTGCTATCGCCTAGTAACCTTTTGATTTCTCAAACTAATCAATTAGTTCCTTGGAAATAATTTTGGTGCTGACACTTCCACTTACGGCAAGGCTGTTTTCAGGGGCATATAACATATTTTTTAAAGAGGCAAAAGACAAAAACCAAGCCAAAAGACAAAGGTATAATCTATTACTTAGCCCAATTCAAATAATAGTGATTTGGAATGCTTAAACTCACAGCTATATACGGCAACTATTAGTTAAAAAGATGCCTCATTAAGGCGAGATCGGATGCATCAGAACCGATAACACTCCTCTAATGACATC